TCCCTCATCCCACACGCCTGCTGTTCTCTGTCCCTCAGGTGCGGCTGTCTCAGTAAGGCAGCTTGTGTTTGGGGTCGGAGGCTCCACCACTGCCTGCCGCCCAGGTCTCCCCTGCTGGGACCGTCAGTAGGAAGAGAAGATGGTGATCGTAGCCATGTTCCCAGAATGGGCACCCTCAACCTCTGCACCTCTGCAGGTTTTCTGTGGGGTCAAGGGGCTCCATGCTCTTAGGCCTGGGGTGATGATGAGGAACGCTGTCCTGTCCTGCGTAGCTATTTCCTTGTCTCTTTTTATGGCCCTTGCTTGGTGCCGAGCACATGACAGAACTGGACACATGAATTAGAGCTGGGAAGACAGTGGTGGGGAAGGACGGTGTCTGGACCTTTACCTTCACTGGGCAGTGGAGCTTGTACACTGGGGGATGTGACTCCTGGGGGCCCTTGGTCAAGTGATGGATGCCAAGTCCCACTCTTCTGAGTCCCCATGTGTTAATTGACCACCAGGGTGACACTGAAGTGAGAGCGTTGCTTGGGGGCACCGCTTTACACCCCAGCCTTAATCCCTGTCTGTCATTTGGTGGGGTGTTGTAACTGAGCAGCAAAGCCCAGCATGCACCCACTTTCTTCGGGAGGACTGTGAACTGGGGTGAAGATACGCATGAAGAGAGCCTCCTCGGCTCTGAGTGACATTGTCCACCAGGCATGATGGGGCCAAGCATGCTGAGGTCTGCCCAGGGCTGGAGGGAAGCAATTCAAGTGTGTCCTGGGGACAGCTGCCCCTGGGACTGCTCTAGAACACAGCTCGGGGAGCAGCCCCTCCCTGGAGTGTGGCAAAAGGCCTGTGCCACCTGATTTTTCTTTACTGTGTAAGCACTACGACCAAAACCATCTTGGGAGGAAGAGTTTTATTTCGTCTTAATCTCCTAATCTCCTAGATCACAGTTTCACTGAGGGAAGTCAGGGCAGGACCTTGGGCAGGAACCTGGGGGAGTTGATGCGATGACTGTGGAGGAGTGCTCTTTGCTGGCTTGCTCCCCTGGCTTGCTCCGCTTCCTTTATTATACAGCACAGGCCCACCTGCCTAGGGTTGGCACCGCCCACAGTGGGCCTTCAGTTGGGGTCCCCTCTTCCCAGATGACTCTTGTTTGTGTAAGGTTGACAAACTTAACCAGTACAGGGTCACGGTGGGCCTAGGACCACGCGGGGCCTAGGACCCCCCTCCACGGTGGGGTCAGAGCACAGGTGCGTGCGTGCCTGGCTTCCTGTAGCCTGTGCTTAGCCAAGTGGAGGGAATCTAGGCTTCTTGAGGCTACATGGACTGTTGGGAAACCCTGCTGCTAGGGTTGTAGTCCTCCATGTCTGGATAGCTCTAAGGGGCTTGGCGCTTTATGGAAGGACTCCCCTTCTCAGCAGGGGACCTCCTGCTCTCTGCCTGACTTACCTGGAGAGTGCCGCCAAGCATGGATGCCTGACCTTATTTGGAACATGACCTTTGGTATAGTTACCTGGAGTAAAAACTACCCCCAGGTTTTTTTCTATATGACAATTAGGCATTTCCCCACAGTTGCATGATAGGATCCCCTGCCACATGTAAATAAAGCGTACTCTGAGCACCTATCAGCTGAAGCTTTGGCTGCTGCCTCCACACTCTATTTTCCCTGACCCCCACTGAATAAACGGAGCTGTATCACTGAGTCTGGAGCTGTTTGTATCACTGAACCTGCCTCCCGAGAAGGGCTTTCTTCCGTCAGTGCTCACTGGCCGTCCTGACCCCATTCGTTGCTTCTGCTCCCTTTGTCCTCATGGACCGGTGGCCAACGACTCATGAGGACAGGGAGAGACCCCACAATGGACAGAGGACTGGAGTGGATGATGGAGACTTTGTTGACAGCTGTTCCCAGCATGTGGGGACAATGACTTTGCAGGCTGGAGGCAGGACCTATCACAGCCAGCCATTCCCTCTGGTGGTGCTTCGATTTAATCCTCCCTGTGCTCTGTGTGAGGCAGTGTGCAGGGAGCTGTGCTGGTCACAGGCTCCCCAGGCCCCTTTGACCTGAGAGAAAATATAGTTAGTCTCTGGGCCCCCAGGCTCCCTGCAGTGCCAAGCTGCTTCCTGAACCCAGAGTCCTATGCACAGCCAGTTGCAGCCCTGGCCCCTGGGGAGGGAGTCCAGCCTTTGAGGGTACACCCCGAGGAGAATCTGTGACATTCAAAAGCTGCCTCCCTGGCAGAGGAGCCTCATTTGCAGGTTTGTGCTGATAGATGACATCAGAACAGCCAGGATTGTCCAGCTGTGGCTGGGCCATGTTGGCAGACCTGATGGGGAGCCCCTTGCTGACAACGCCTTGTTACACCCTGTGGTGACGTGGGAAGACACACTGGAGGATTGGTTAGAGATGGGGCCAGCGAGCTTGCAACACGCCAGCCAGCCTGCCACACTGCTGCTCCACGCCCCCTCAGCATAGAATGGGGTCATGTTGTGCCGTGTACTTGGTCACCAGCTCTTTTCACCATAAACCCGGCTTGCTGCCTCCTCCCACAGGCACTTCCTGCTCTACACAGGATACCCCCTGTTATTTTTGGGGGCACCTGGCATGCCCTCAGACATTTTGCATGCATCCTTGCGCACACAAATGTGTTGTGCCGTGGTCTGTGTGCTGGCCCAGTTGTGTCCTGTTGCAGAAGTGTTTCCCTGCCAGACACACCCTTCCCAGGAGGACCCCAAGTAGGAACTTAGCCAGTGACACACTGTGCAGTGCTCAGAGCAACAGACAGGAAAGCGAGCCGCCCTGGCTCTTGACGTAGTCCTTCCCAGCCCAGTTTGTCTGGCGTATGGATTGGGCCCTCTCACCTGGGCCCACAGCAGATGTCTTGAAAACGACACCCAGACCCTTTTTTAGGGTGCTTTACTCTCTCGGAAGGTAAAATTGCATAGCACGTCACGATACAACGGAGTACCTGAAAAACACAGGACACAATAGCCAAGTCTGAGCCCTGGGGGAGAAGCCATAATGGGCTCCGATGGTGTCCCTCGCCCGCCCGAGGAGGCACACGGGCCTAAGTGCCAGCTTTCTCTTAGCTAAGGATAATGGAGCCATTTCCTGCAATTTTTCCTCGTTACTAAAATCAGCCTTCAGAATTTTCTGAGTCCCCATTTAGGGTGGAACAAAGTAGAGCTTTCCTGTTTCATCTTTTGGCTGTTTTAGGAGGAAAGGCTGCTGGGGAGGACACTCCAGGGGCCTGGGACAGGTGCCCTGTGGGGGCCAGCCAGGTGACAATGTCTGCATCTGCCCCTAGAGAGTGGAGGCCTTCCCGGGGAGTGAGCCGCTGGCTCATCTTCTGGCACCCCCGAAGAAAAGCACCTTGTTTCTCAGGCCACAGGCTTCTCTGGTGGGAGTTCCTGAGTCCCTGTTGATTGATATGTTAGAAAAGAGCAGGTGGGTGAGTGGACACTGCCCAGGAGGCAACTGGACCATGAACTATACCTGCTGTGCTGGGCAGTCAGGTCCCCTGAGGCAGAAGTCCCATTTGGCTGGCCCCCACTGCTGTCCCCGGCACCTCTTCCATTCTGTCCCCATCAACAAGGCCTCACAGGGCCTCCACAAGTCCCTCAGCTTGGGAAGAGCCTGTAGCATCTCCTAAAGGGCCTCTGGAAGCAGCCAGAAGAGGCTGGGCAGTGTGGAGGGTGTGGTGGGGTGGGTTTCCCCTCAGTAGAGGCTCTGCTGTTGTTTCTGTTCTGTTAGCACCTAGAGTAAAGCCAGGAGGCCGTTGGGCATTCTCCAACGGTGGTGTGGAGCTGGAGGTCCTGGATCGTCCTGCCCTGTGCTGTCTGCACAGGAGTTCAGAGACCTAGAGAAATATGAGAGAGTCATTCATGGCAGATGTGAGCCATATGGACACCTGGGCAGTAGAGGGCACCCGGGAGGGAGAGAGCTTCACGACTGCCTGGTGTCTCTTGTCTGACAAGGTCCTGGAGAGAGGGCTTCTGCTTTTCTGGAAATCCTGTTCTGGAAGTCCAGTAGGAGGCTTCACCTTGTCACTGTGAAGGGGACTTGAACGAGCTGGGCAGGGCATGGACCTTAGGGTTGGATACGAGAGCTGTAATCTTCGGGACATCAGACAGGCCCCACCGCGGTGAAGTGCAAGGATCACATAGCGTGCTGGCCACACTCTGGTCTCAGAAGGGAGCAGAGGTGTCCCTTCAGGTGTGCTGGGGTTGCACCCCAGCAGCCCCAGAGGTGAAGGATGATGGTGGCACCTGTAGAAGGACGGTAACAGGGAACATGGCTGGGGTGTGGACCCGACTCCCACCTTGCCCTGTCTTAGTTGCTGTGCTCCCCCAGGGTAGCAAACACAGCTCCCCCAGAGGAGGCTGTCACTCTGCAGAGGCCCCTTGGCCCATTGGGATGCAGAATTTGCCTCTCCAGGGTCAAAGCTGTTCTTTGCCCCTTGCTCAGGGGAGCTGCTGGAGGGTTGGCCTTGGCTTCCGAATGGTAGACTTCCCAGTCTTCAGTGGCACACTGGCTCTGCGAATGAATAGCACCTTGTGGGAGGGCTGTGCTCAGGAGGTGGTATTGGGACCCCAGCCTGGCCAGAGCCTTTCCTGTCAGAACAGTGTATTTTGCAACAAAACAGTAAGTAGGTCCAGCCCCAGCTGAGGTACCCTTAGGCCAGGCACACCCCAGAGCTGATACTCCCAAGGCAGTGGGGGTCTGAGTGACAGAAAGCCTGCAGTGCAGCAGTGCGAGTATCAGGGAGCGTCCAGGACCCAGTGTCTGGGAACCACCTTGCCATACCTGGCCCTCACTTAGCAAGGCTGC